AAGGTAATTTGAGAGAAAGACCAATGAAATCTGCATAGATATTACCCTCACATCATTGGCTGTCTCTTAAAGTGTTCATGTACAGGATGCAGCTCCAAAAAGCCCACCAGAAATTTGTAGTTGGAGGAGAAAGAACAAGGAAGAGATTTTAGCATTATTGTGGCGCCAAGGACACAGATCAGAATTGTGTTTTGTTGAGGGAGAAGAATCTTGGTAAACCCTGCCTGGGCTTGTAGTGACCTCCAGAATTACACCCTCTAATAGCAAACACCATACCCTAGTAATAAGGGCAAATCTGAAATAAACTTGCTCATAAAAAGCCTAAAACCAACACTTAAAGAGAATGAGGTATCTGCTATTACTCAGTTTGCATGCCAAAATAAAACTTAACCTAATTTCCATACGGGGGAAGATATCATCCAAAGCTTCTATAATTTCTTCACCAGTCATTTTCTGGAATCCAATTAAAAGTATAATCTAAGGGATGCTGAGAAACAGTACCAAAAGAAAAATTAGGTAATAGAGTTCATAGTTGGTCAGATTTTGGTGTTATCCGAGATTTCAAAAACAATGATTTTTTTATTCAAGAGAATCAAGGAGTGAACAACAAAAGTAAACAGATAAAAAATTTCATAGAGAATTTAATCTACTAAAAAGAATCTAAAAATATATTTCAAAAGATTCTAATACTTATTTTAGAGCTGAAAATGACATATCTGGAATTAAATACTTACTCATTTGGCGTAATATAGCAAATATACAAGAAAGCAAGTTTAGGGAACTAGAAGATAAAAATAAATTCAAACTTCTAATAAGGGTAGCTTTTCAGCAGATCTTTTTTTTTAACACTTTTTTTTTTAAAGATTTTATTTATTTATTTGACAGAGAGATCACAAGCAGGCAGAGAGGCAGGCAGAGAGAGAGGAGGAAGCAGGCTCCCTGCTGAGCAGAGAGCCCGATGCGGGGCTCGATCCCAGGATTCTGAGATCATGACCTGAGCCGAAGGCAGCGGCTCAACCCACTGAGCCACCCAGGCGCCCCTCAGCAGATCTTTTTTTTAAAGATTTTATTTATTTATTTGACAGAGATCACAAATAGGCAGAGAGAGTAGAGGAAGAGAAGCAGGCTTCCTGCTGAGCAGAGAACCCGATGCAGGGCTTGATCCCAGGACCTTGGATTATGACCTGAGCTGAAGGCAGAGGCTTTAACCCACTGAGCCACCCAGGTGCCCCCAGCAGATCTTGATTATTCTTATTCTTTACTGTATTTATGCCAGTTCCCTCTATCTTCTTTTCTCAATCTATAACTTCTCTTTCCCCAACTTTTTTCCTACCTGTTATTTCAGTTCTTACTTCCATACATCCCTGCTGAAGACCTGTGTCCCTGATATCAGTAGCAAACAATAATAGGAAATTTAATTAAGGTGACTGGCAGGTTAACACAGAGAACACTGTTAGTTCTACTACATGAAGTACACAAAACTCTAGGTAGACAGGCACCAAGTAAACTTAGCAACAAGCAAAAGATGAGGATCTGGTGATAGAATCTGAGGTGCAAAGGCTTCTACTTTCCAGAAAATCAGGGTATCAAACACATCTCTATTTCCAGAGAAACAGAAGTTAAGAAAATGATCTATGAACCTATTGCAGGAAGCAAAGCCAGGTAATCATAGGTATGGCAGAGAGTTACTTGGTGGTATAGTCTACAGACACAGAATTGACCGTGACTCGGTTCCTGGAATTGTGCTCCTTTATCAAAGTTGTTGGGTATAAGCAAGCTAGGAAACATCTGTAATTTATAAATTTCAGCTGCCTTGGAATCATATTGGTCCCAGATCTAGTGATGTTTAAGTGGGTTCAGCTATGAGGATTGGTGGGCTTTTGAGGACAAGAAAACATACCAGTCATTATATCAGATGTTGGTACATAATTGCTCTTAGGTTTGGTTTTATAGAACTAAGTTATGTAAAAGTTATTTATTTCTCTTAGGGGTTAGATCTATTATCATCAGATAAATCTTTAATTTGGCTGTGTCAGTCTAAAGTTTGGTGTTATATGCTATTCCTTAGAAAGAGATACAGAATATTAGGCTGTAAAATGATTTAATTTTGTAATAAAGTATATAGGCTGTGTGTGTGTGTGTATGTGTATCTATATTCCTAAGTTACCTTACCTGGTTACCAAGCCCTGCCTAATTTAACCAGAATTCTATTCTTCAGACTCTAGATAGGAGACGATTTTTATCTGCAAATGGATCTTGTTTCAATATTAAAAACTTACATATCCAGTATTTTTTATAATTTTAGGCTTATTGAGGTATAGCAGAAAAACAAATTTCAAGACCTAGAAAGTATACATCATGATGACCTGACACATGTGTACAGTGTGAAGGGATTTCCCCTCTATATTTAACACACCAGTCATCTCACATATCATCTCACATACGTTTATGGGTTTTTCATTTTATTTTGTTTCGTTTTGTTGAGAACATCCTAGTACCACCATCCCACCAAACATCAATCATGCAACACTGTGTTATCAACAGTAGTCACAATGCTTTCCATCAGGTCCTCAGACGTTATTCATCTTGTAGCTGAGAGTTTGTACCCTTTTACCAACCTCTCCGTATTCTCCCTGTCCCTTAGCCCCTGTAACCACTTTTTTTAGTCCCTGTTACTGTGAGTTTGGTACTTTTTTTCTTTTTTGTCCAAAGATTCTTTGTATACATGACACCATGCAGTGTCTGTTGTTCTCTGTCAGGCTTATTTCACTTAGCATAATGTCTTCACACTCCATTCAGGTTGTGGCAAATGGCAGGATTTCCTTTTTTTGTCAAATAATATTCCATTGTATATAAATGTGGTGACTTCTTTATCAGTTCAACCACTGATGGACACTTAGGTTATTTGTGTACATTAAAGGTTTTAGATTGGCTCTTTTTGGGAGGGGGAGAGGTAGAGGGAGAGAAGATCTTAAGCAGGCTCCACACCCAGCACAGAGCCCAACTCGGGGCTCACTCTCACAACCCTGATATCATGACCTGAGGTAAAATCAACAGTCAGATGCTAAACTGACTGAACCACCCAGCTACCCAAACGCCCCTGCTTTGATTCTATTTTTGAATGTGATTTGCCTCAGAGCTTTGAAATGTTGGTTAATCATACTGTTTTTGCACTAAAATCTTTTCAGTATTCCTTCCTGTTTTTTCTCTGCCTGGTTTTTGCCTGTCCCACAGAATTTAATGACCTTGATCTTTATTTACTCATTAATTCACTCATGGATTCAAATATCTGAGTACTTACTGAACACCAGGTCAGAAATAAAGTCACTTCCTATATTTCATTTACCTTGTCTCCATTTGATGGTCTTTATTCCAATCAAAAGAATATCTTCCTAAGTAAGTCACACTAGTTTTTGCTTTCTGAGTGTGACCAAAATAAATGTTAACTTGCTTGAATATTCTAGGATTTCTTTTGTCATTGTTTATTAACAATGTAGTTTAACAAAGTAGTGGTTCAACAAAAAATACGTAAAACAAGATTTTCTTAGTGGAGACTTGCTAAAAACCCCAAACTTCCTATTTGTCTTTTCTTTAATTTTGCTCAGCATTTAAAACTCATTTTAAATTAACTGTTTTAAGTATCTATTTCTTTTTTCTCTTTGAAACATCAAGTTAGGAGTACTTACATCTTTTACTCTCTCTTTCTCTTATGTCCACAATAATAACTACCTTTTTAAAAAAAAAAGTCTGTGTTTTGAGGTGCAGTTCACTCTCTTAGGTTAATTTATTTAAAAAATGAGCAATTCTCAGGGCACTTGGGTGGCTCAGTGGGTGAAAGCCTCTGCCTTTGACTCAGGTCATGATCTCAGGGTCCTGGGATTGAGCCCTGCATCAGGCTCTCTGCTTGGCAGGGAGCCTGCCTCCCCCTCTCTCTCTGCCTGCCTCTCTGCCTCCTTGTAATCTCTGTCTGTCAAATAAATAAATAAAATCTTTAAAAAAAAATGAGCAATTCTATAACTTGACAAATGCGTACAGACATGTAACTGTCATCACAATCAAAATACAAAGCAGCCCAATCATCCCAAAAGTTCCCTCTTGCTGCTGTCCTCCCACTCCTTGACTGTGATGTGTTTTCTGTATAACATAAACATGGAATCATATGATATGTGGCTTTTGAGTTTGAATTCTTTCTTTTAGCAAAATGATTTGGGTTTCACTCTTGTTGTATATAGCAATAGTTTGCTCCCTTTTTGTTGATAAATAGTATTCTATTACATGGATATACCCCAGTTTTTATCCATGTACCAGTTGAAGAATGTTTGCGTTGTCTTCAGATTCTGGCTGTGAAGAACAAAACCACTAAAAACATTGATTTAGTAACTACTTTTTAAATGGGTAATGCTTAGAAATGGGACATTATGATATAAGTGTGAAAACAATTAAGTGGAAAGACACCAGAGACCTCAGCTCTCACAATAGTTTTGCATTCAGTTAACTGTTAGGTTGAATAGAGAATTTAACTACTCTATGCTTCTTTCTTTTGTAAAACGCGCATGATGTAGGGCTTACTCTAGCTTTAAAGAAACATGATACTGTGATGTATAGGTAAGGTATTTATCCTTGTTCTAAGAGATGAACTTATAAATGGTCATATACATCTTTATAGAATTAAGTTATATAAATTCAGTATAACTAATATTTTAAATAACAGGTTATTTTGTCTCTAAGTCCAGTCATAAATGGTTAGAAAATAACATAGTTTGCTTCATGAATTTTAAAGGTCATCATAATCTTGTGCTTTTTTTTTTTTAACCCACTGAGCCACCCAGGCGCCCCTCTTGTGCTTTTTATTAACTATGTGATTCAATTAATCTTACATTGGAAAATTATTTTGATGATAATACTCTTAAGTAAATCTTTGATTGATATTTTCATTAAAATATTTCAGCATTTATTTACTTAAGTATTTATGTATTTTTAAATTTATTTTTTTATTTTAGATGGGTCTAGGAAAGACAATCCAGGCAATAGCAATTGCTTACTTCTATAAGGAGGAATGGCCTCTTTTAATAGTGGTCCCTTCATCTCTGAGATATCCTTGGGCAGAAGAAATAGAGAAATGGATCCCAGAGCTGGGTCCAGAAGGTGTGAATGTTATTCAGAATAAAACTGATGTGGGGTAAGAACAACTTTTTGATCATTAAGCGGGTAAAAAAAAGCCTTGCATGTATTTATCATGTACTGATGTTTGGAATAAAGTATAACATGTAAGTCATAATTTAGAAATAAGAGAATAGTATGGAGAATTTTATTTTACATTTTTAAATGTAATTTAATAATGATTATTATTAAATTATTAAACATTTTAAAATGAATTATTTATCTAAAACCCAACAGTATATTTGATGTTAAATTCCTTTAGGATACAATTTAAAAGTAAACAGAAATATATATACTTTTGAAGATTTATGTAATATATCTATTTCATATGTACTTGAAATATACTTAAAACTGGCAATTTGGGGGTTGAAAATTAATATGAAGCTTGTGAGTTTTTATTGTCTGCAGCAATGGCAGATTTTGCCTTCCAAGTTGTTGGTTAATAGGCAAGTTTTATATGTAACTCATAATTATATATAATATGGTGGCACTAAATTCATATCTCTAATAACTACTCTGAATGTAAATGGACTTAATGCTCCAATAAGAACACATAGAGTATCAGAGTGATTAAAAAAACATGACCCATTGATATGCTGTTTACAAGACACTCATTTTAGACCCAAAGACACCTCTAGATGGAAAGTGAGGGGATGGAGAACCATCTACCATACTAATGGACATCAAAAGAAAGCAGGAGTAGCCACTCCTATATCAGACAAATTAGATTTTAAACCAATTACCGTAATAAGAGATGAAGAAGGACACTGTATCATAATACAGGGGTCTATCCCACAAGAAGATCTAACAATTGTAAATATTTTTGTCCCCAACTTGGTTGCAGCCAATTATAAAATCAGTTAATAACAAACTTAAACTCATTGATAATACAATAATAGTAGAGGACTTTAACACCCCACTCAAAGCAACAGATAGATCATCTAAGCAGAAAATCAACAAGTAAACAAGGGCTTTGAATGACACACTGGACCAGATGGACTTAACAGACATATTCAGAGCATTCATCCTAAAGCAGCAGAATACACATTCTTTTTGAGTGCACATGGAACATTATCCAGAACAGATCACATATTGGGTCACAACTCAGGCCTTAGTGGGTGTAAAAAAAATGAGATCATAAACATGCATATTTCAGACGACAATGCTATGAAACTTTTTGACCACAAGAAAAAATTTGCAAAGACCACATATACATGGAGGTTAAATGGATAAACCAGGAAATTAAAGGAAAAATTTAAAAATACATGGAAGCAAATAAAAATGAAAACATGACAGTCCAAAAACTTTGGGATCAGCAACGGCAGTTCTAAGAGGGAAGTACATAGCAATACATGTCTTCCTCAAGACGCAAGAAAAGCCTCAAATACACAACCTAACCTTACATTTAAAGGAGATGGAAAAAGAACAGCAAATAATGCTGAGGGAAATAATTAAGGGAAATAATAAAAGTTAGAACATAAATAAATTATATAGAAATTTTTAAAATAACAGTAGAACAGATCAATGAAACTAGAAGCTCGTTCTTTGAAAGAATTAACAAAATCGAGAAACACCTACCCAGATTTATCAAAAAGAAAAGAGAATGGACCCAAATAAAAAAAAAACACGAATGAAAGAAGAGAGATCACAAGCAAACCTCAGAAATACAAACAATTATAAAAGACTATTGTGAACAATTATATGCCAAAAAAATTGAGTAATCTGCAAGATATGGACACATTCCGAGAAACATAAAAACAACCAAAACTGAAACAGGAAGTAATAGAAAATTTGAATAGACTCTTAACCAGGAAAGAAATTGAATCAGTAATCAAAAATCTCCCAACAAATTAGAGTCCAGGGCTGGATGGCTTCCATGGGGAATTCTACCAAACATTTAAAGAATTAATTCCGATTCTTCTGAAGCTGTTCCAAAAAGTAGAAATGGATGGGAAACCTCCAAACTTGTTAAATGAGGCCAGCGTCACCTTGATCTCAAAACAAGACAAAGACCCCACTAAAAAAGAGAATTACAGACCAGTATCCCTGATGAGCATGGATGCAAAAATTCTCAACAAGATACTAGCTAACTGAATGCAACAGTACATATTCACCATAATCAAGGGTGATTTATTTCTAGGCTGCAGAGGTGGTTCAATATCCGCAAATCAATCAATGGGATTATATTAATAAAGAATAAGAACCATGTGTCTTCTCAATAGGTGCAGAAAAAGTACTCGACAAAATATAGCATCCTTTCTTGATAAAAATCCTCAAGAGAGTAGGGATAGAAGGAACATACCTCAGGATCATAAAGGCCATATACAAAAGACCCACAGGTGATATCATCCTCAGTGGGAAAAAACTGAGAGCTTTCCTCCTAAGGTCAGGAATACAGCAGGGATGTACACTCTCACCACTGTTGTTCAGTATAGTACTGGTTCAGCTGGTTTTATAAATAGCTTCTGCACAGCAAAGGAATAAAAACTTCTGTAGAGCAAAGGAAACAATTAACAAAACTAAAAGGCAACTGATGGAATGGAAAAAGATATTTGCAAATGACATATCTGATAAAGGGCTAGTATCTAAAATCTCTAAAGAACTTACCAAACTCAGTACCTAAAAAAACCAAATAATTGGCAGTTAAGAATTGGGTAGAAAACATGAATAGACACTTTTCCAAAGAAAACATCCAGATGGCTAATAGACACATGAAAAAATGCTCAACATCATTCGCCATCAGGAAAATACAAATCAAAACCACAATGAGATACCACCCTCACACCCGTCAGAATGGCTAAAATAAACAACTCAGGAAATAACAGATGTTGTTGAAGATGCAGAGAAAGAGGAACCCTTTTGTACTGTTGGTGGGAATGAAAACTGGTATAACCATTCTGGAAAGCAGTATGGAGGTTCCTCAAAAGCTTAAAAACAGAATTACCCTACAACCCAGCAATTGCACTACTAGGTATTTATCCAAGGATACAAAAATGCTAATTGAAAGGAGCACATGCACCCTAACTTTACAATAGCACTATCAAAAATTTCCAAATTATGGAAAGAGCCCAAATGTCCATCGACTGATGAATGGATAAAGAGGATGTGGTATGTATAAACAATGGAATATTACTCAGCAATCTAAAAGAATGAAATGTTGCCATTTGCAACAACGTAGCTAGAACTAGAGTGTATTATGGTAAGCAAAATGAGTCAGAGGAAAAAATACTGTATGATTTCACTCATATGTGGAACTTAAGGAACAGCACATATGAACATAGAGGAAGGGAAGGAAAAACAAAATAAGATAACAGATAGGGAGCAAACCATAAAAGACTTGAATACAAAGAAACTGAGGCTTGAGGGAGGGGAGATGGCTGGGAGGATGTGATAAATAGGTAATAGGCATTAAAGAGGACACTTTTTGGAGGAGCCCTGGGTGTTATATATGAGTGATGAATCAATAAATTCTATTCCTAAAACCAATACTATACTTTATGTTAACTAAGTTGAATTTAAATAAATAAAAAAATAGAACTATCATATGATCGCACTACTGGGTATTTCCCCTAAGAATATGAAAACACTAGTTCCAAAGGATATATACACTCCTAGTTTATTGCAGGACTATTTACAATATCCAAATTATGGAATCAGCCCAAGTGCCAACTGGTGGATGAATGAATGAAGAAGGTGTGGTGTGTGTATATATGTGAACGTACAACGGGATACTGTTCTGCTATAAAAATGAATGAAATCTTGCATTTATACCAACCTGCAGTGTTATAGATTATAATACTAAATAAATAAGCCAATCAGAGAAAGACAAGTATCAATGATCTCACTTGTATGTGATATTTAAGAAACAAAACAAGTGAACAAGGAGAGAAAAAAGAGACAAACCAAGAAATGGACTCTTACCTGTAGAGAAAAAACAGAAGCTTATTGGAGGGGAGGTAGGTTGGAGTGGATGAATGAAATAAGTGACGGTGATTAATAGTACTCGTACCTTGATGATTACTTGTTGAAGCACTATATTGTATACCTGAAACTAATATAACACTGTATGTTAACTACACTGGAATTAAAATTTTAAAAATAAATAAATTTTTAAAATTTTGAATGCAATTGTTATATTGTTATGTTGTACTATTTAGGAGCTCTGCCATTTCTCTTAAGGGGTACAGAACTGCAGAAGATTGACTTTAGACTTTATATTTTTACTGGTGATACAGAAAATGCAAAAGTAATGTGTTTTATTATTAATGCATTTATCTAGTTATTTCATTCTACAAACTGATTAGGAGCCTAGCACTATATATACAAAGACGAGTAAGACATATTCTTTGTCCTCATCAGTTTTATGAGGTAGCAAAGGAGATAAATATGTACATGAATAATTTCATTACAGTCTGGGAAAAAGTACTATAGATATATGAATAATTAAGTAGTTCAAAATATGAGCAGTCTCTTTAGGCCAATGTTTGTCTGCATAAAGTTGTATCCTCCACTCCTCATTCCCATGCTTTGGATCACCCCTCAGCGAGTGAATTTTTGTTGTCACAATTTCAAGCACTCTGCTGGCCTTTAGTGTGACAATCCAGGAATACGAAATGCCTTGCAGTGCACTGGACAGCCCTGCAATACTAAATATTGTCTTCCAGTAGCACCAGGCTTGAAAAATACTGCTATCCTCTTTGTGGGAAGGCTTCAATGAATAGTCAGCTAATCTTTAAGTATCCCTTTTATCCATGATTCTAGAAATAAATATTCTTATAGAATAATGTCCTTATCCTAGTAAAATGTGGCTTTGTGGATGTCAAACTCTTCCAAAGAGCATTTAACCAATATTTAGTTTTGGTTAACCAAAACCTTAAATTTTAGATTCTGGTTAATCATACCTGAAAACTGTCAAATCTTAAGAGAATTTTAGTTTTAGCAGTGTAATACCATCTCTTTTACTTTCCCCCTTATTTTCTTTATTTTCCTTCTCCCAAAGAGTTGTGTTATGATAACTTGATTACTTGATTAATATTTTTAAATTACATATATATTTTTTCTTTCTAGGAGAATATCGACTGGCAAAGTGACAGTTCTGGGTTATGGTCTTTTAACCACAGATGCAGAGACTCTGATAGATGCATTGAATACTCAGAAGTTCGAAGTAGTTATAGTGGATGAATCACACTACATGAAGTCTAGGAATGCAGCCCGCAGCAAGATTCTATTGCCAATAATACAGAAAGCCAAACGAGCCATTCTTCTTACAGGAACTCCAGCTTTGGGACGACCTGAAGAGGTATTAAAATCCTTAAATTTTGGCTTAAAAAAAGAATCTCTCGCTCCCCCCCCCCAAAAAAAATCACTGGGAATTTCTAGATCGTTATTAATGATTAAATACATCTTTTACTATGATTGTTTTCTCTGTTTACATGTGAACCTTACCTGTGCTTGTGCATGTATAAAAAAAGTAGTTTTTACTTTCAGTATAAGGTTTTCATATTTAGTATACATGTGTAATATTAATCACATTTGTTTTCTTGTGATTCTCATAAGCTTTTAGTCTTCATTTATCTAGTTTCTTTGACATTATAAGCTCCTTAGGATTGGAATTTAATCCATTTTGTATCTTAGCAATTTGCATTACAAAACTTCTTTCTGTTTCTCCTTTACTTCAAGATACATGTTTGAGGGGTGCCTGGGTGGCTCAGTCAGTTAAGCATTGGACTCTTGGTGTTGGTTCAGGTCATGATTTCAGGGTTGTGGGATGAGCCCTGCTTAGGGCTCCACATTGAGCACAAAGTCTCACTCTAAGAGCTATGTAGATTATGGAGTAGTTAAAGTGTTGGAAAGAAGAAATGGTGGATGAAATTCTTACGAGTCTGTAAGGGTCACTGTAACCTTAGAGAAGCCCTTTCCGTTAATGGACACTGAGTCATAGAAAAAAACGTACTTTTTGTCTTGTAGGGTTTTAAGAGTTAAAGGATATACTGATTTGAAAGTATCTTTCTCTGTGCCCTAGCACATGGTAAGCACTCAACATACAATAGCCATTTTTATTACTGATTAGTAAACAAACTATGGGAGATAGCTATTGATAGGGTATATTATGTTCATTCATTTTCACATGTTAAACCAACCTTATATTCCATGATCAATCTCTCTTGACTGTATGTCATTCGTTTTATTTGTTTCTGAATTCACTTTGCTTTATTTTGCTGATGATTTTTGTGTGTATATTCACAAGAGTGATCTGTAGTTTTATTGTTTTACCTTTGTTTTTGGTAACAAGGCAATACTGGTTTCACAGAATGAGGTGGGAAGTATTCTTTCCTTTTCTAAGAGGAGTTTGTGAAACATTGCTATTACTTCTTTTTTAAGTGTTTGGTAGAATTTAGTGGATAAGCCATCTGGGCCTGAGTTTTTCTTTGTGGATAGTTTTTAAATTAATCATTCAGTTTCTTCACCGAATATATGTCTATTCAGATTGTATATTTCTTGTTGAGTCATTTTGATACTTTGTGTCTTTTTCCACTTTATCTAAGGTATCTAAGTTATTAGCATACAGCTGGTCATAATATTCCCTTATAATCCTTGGTATTTCTGTGAGGTTGATAGTAATGTCCCCTCATTTATTTCTGACTTTGGTAACTTGAGTCTTTTCTCTGTCTCTTTTTTAATTTGGTTAGTCTAAGCTAAAATTTTCTCAATTTTCTTGTTCTTTCCAAAACCAATTATTTGGTTTCATTGATTATTTTTTCTGTTGTTTTTCCATTTTCTATGTTGTTTATTTCCATTCTAGTCTTTATTATGTTATACCTTTTGTCTGTTTTGCATTTTGTGTACTCTTTTGTTCCCAGTGTCTTAGGTAGAAAGTTAGATTTGAGATCTTTTTTCTTTTTTAATGGAGACATATATAGCTCTAAATTTCACTCCTTGGAAAACATACTGGCAATTACTTAGAACGTTAAAAATAGAGTTACCAGAAGATGTAGAATTCCATTTTTAAGTTTATACACAAAGAACTGAAAACATACGTTCACAAAAATACTATATACAGATGTTCATAGTAACATTATTTATAATATCCAAAAAGTAGAAAGAAGCCAGTGTCCATAACTAATGAATGGATAATGAAAATGCAGCTATAAAAAGGAATGAAATACTGGTAAATTCTACAGCATGGGTGAACCTTGAAAGCATTATGCTAAGTGAATGAAGTCAGACAGAGAGGCTACATATTCTGTTTATGTGAAATATTCAGAAAGGCAAAGTAATGGAAATGGGAATCAGATTAGTGTTTGCCAGGAGTGATGGAGAGGGAGAATGGGAAATGACTAGTAATGGGTATGGACTTCCTGTTGTGATAAAAATATTTAAGAATTACATAGTGGTGGGGCGCCTGGGTGGCTCGGTGGGTTAAGCCTCTGCCTTTGGCTCGGGTCATGATCTCAGGGTCCTGGGATCAAGTCCCGCATCGGACTCTCTGCTTGGCAGGGAGTCTGTTCCTCCTCTCTCTCTCTCTTTCTGTCTGCCTCTCTGCCTACTTGTGATCTCTCTGTCAAATAAATAAATTTTAAAAAAAGAATTAGATAGTGGTGATTGAGGCATTTTGTGAATATACTAAGAGCCATTGAATTGTACCCTTTACAAGTGTGAATAATGAAAGTGGTATATGAATTGTTTCTCACTAAAGCAGCTCTTTCAAAAAAAGTATACTAAAATAACAGTGAGACACTACTATGTGCAACCTCTCAAGTTATAAAAATGAAAAGATTTCATGATGCTATTGCTGGGACCTGCTTTTTACAGTATATAGCACAGTAGCATCCATCAAACTTCAAAAAACATATATTTTAAACCTCCTATTTCATTTCTGAAAATATATCCTATGGACACATCTTATGGAAATACAGATTGGTGGGTGGGTGAGTGGGTGAGTGGGTGAATGGATGGATGGATAAATAGATAAATGATTGATAGATGAGATGTAGATACATATACCTATGCCTACATATATATGAATGCACACATACACACCCATAGACTTACCTGAAATTATTAACTTTTATAATTGTATAAAAGCTAGAAATACCCTATATGTCCATGATCAAGAGACTATTTAAATATCTTATAGTACTTCTGTGTAATAATGGTTGCCATGAGTCTTTAAATGGTGCTTTATTATACTAATACCATTGCTTAGGTACTTTTCAAAACTAAGTAAAAATAGATATACTCTAATGATGTCTAAGACATATTTTAGGGGACAGAATCATAGTTTTATATGTATAATATCATCCTCATGTGAATAAAAGAGAATTTATACATATCCCTATGTAGGCATGCAAAATATATAAATGTATACTAGAGAAAAGTATAGCAGTTACCCTTGAAGAATAGGATGGCAGAGATGGGTGGATGGAGGAAAAGGAGGAGACTTTACTATTTGCCATTTTTTTAACTAGATTTATCATAGTAATAATATTTACTTGAAAATACTGCTACATATTGAGAACACTTGTATTGTTACAGCTTTTCATGCAGATTGAAGCTCTCTTTCCACAAAAATTTGGAACGTGGACCGAGTATGCCAAAAGATACTGTAATGCACATATCAGGTATGACAAAATACTTTCTATAAATTTTAATTCTTACATATTTACTGTGAACATAAGGGTTTTATTAGTCATTCTTGGCTCCAGTGCTCTTCAAACTTGTAGCTATGGAATAATTTCTTCAAGTAAAATCTTGTGGGGCTCCTGGGTGGTTTAGTTGGTTAAGTGTCTGCCTTGGGCTCAGATCGTGATCCCAAGGTCCTGGGATCGAGCCCCACATGAGGTTCCCTGCTCAGCAGGGGGGTCTTATTCTCCCTTTCCCTTTGCCCCAACCCCTTGGGCTTGTGCTCTCTCTCTCTCTCTCTCTCCCTCTCATATAAATAAATAAATCTTTAAAAAATTTTTTTTCAGTGTTCCAAGATTCATTGTTTATGTTCCACACCCAGTGCTCCATGCAATACGTGCCCTCCTTAATACCCACCACCAGGCTCACCCCATCTCCTCACCCACCTCCCCTCCAAAACCCTCAGTTTTGTTTCTCAGAGTCCACAGTTTCTCATGCTTCGTCTCTCCTTCCGATTTCCCCCAATTCACTTTTCCTTTCCTTCTCCTATTCTTTATGCTCCTTATTCCTTATGCTCCCCAAGTAAGTGAAACCATATGATAATTGACTCTCTCTGCTTGATTTATCTCAGTCAGCATAATCTCCTCCAGTCCCATCCATGTTGATACAAAAGTTGGGTATTCATCCTTTCTGATGGAGGCATAATATTCCATTGTATATATGGTCCATATCTTCTTTATCCATTCGTTTGTTGAAGGGCATCTTGGTTCTTTCCACAGTTTGATGTTTGTGGCCATTGCTGCTATGAACATTGGGGTACATATGGCCTTCTTTTCACTACATCTGTATCCTTGGGGTAAATACCCAGTAGTGCAATTGCAGGGTCATAAGGTAGCTTTATTTTTATTTTTTTTTAATTATTTTTATTAACATATAATGTATTATTTTCCTCAGAGGTACAGGTTTGTGAATCATCAGGCTTACACATTTCACAGCACTCAACATAGCCCATACCCTCCCCAATGTCCATAACCCAACAACACTCTCCCTACCCCCCACCCCCCAGCAAAACCTCAGTTTGTTTTGTGAGATTAAGAGTCTCTGATGGTTTGTCTCCCTCCCAATCCCATCTTGTTTCATTTTTTCCTTCCCTACCCCCCAAACCCCACTGCCCTGTCTCTCAAATTCCTCATATCAGAGAGATAATATTGATAATTGTCTTTCTCTGATTGACTTATTTAATTCAGCATAATACCCTCCAGTTCCATCCAGGTCATTGCAAATGGCACGATTTCATTTCTTTTGATGACTGCATAGTATTCCAAATACACACACCACATCTTCTTTATCCGTTCATCTGTTGATGGACATCTAGGTTCTTTCCATAGTTTGGCTATTGTGGACATTGCTGCTATAAACATTCAGGTGCACGTGCCCCTTTGGATCACATTTTTATCTTCAGGGTAAATACCCAGTAGTGCGATTCCTGGGTCATAGGGTAGCTCTATTTTCAACTTTCTGAGGAACCTCCATGCTGTTTTCCAGAGTGGCTGCACCAGCTTGCATTCCCACCAACAATGTAGGAGGGTTCTCCTTTCTCTGCATCCTCTCCAACACTTGTTGTTTACTGTCTTGTTAATTTTGGCTGTTCTAACTGGTGTATGGTGGTATCTCACTGTGGCTTTGATTTGAATCTCCCTGATGGCTAATGATGATGAACATTTTTTCATGTGTCTGTTAGCCATTTTTGGAGTAGTGTCTGTTCTTGTCTTCTGCCCATTTTTTGATGCAATTATCTGTTTTTTGAGTGTTGAGTTTGAGGAGTTCTTTATAGATCTTGACTATCAGCCCTTTGTCTATAGTGTCATTTACGAATGTCTTCTCCCATTCCATGGGTTGCCTCTTTGTTTTGTTGACTGTTTCCTTTGCTGTGCGGAAGATTTTGATCTTGTTGAAGTCCCAAAAGTTCATTTTCGCTTTTGTTTCTTTTGTGTTTGGAGATATGTCTTGAAAGAAGTTGCTGTGGCCAGTGTCAAAGAGGTTACTGCCTATGTTCTCTAGGATTTTGATAGATTCCTGCCTCACGCTGAGGTCTTGTATACATTTTGAGTTTATCTTTGTGTATGGTGTAAGAAAATGGTCAAGTTTCATTCTTCTATACAGAGCTGTCCTATTTTCCCAGCACCATTTATTGAAGAGACTGTCTTTTTTCCACTGGATATTTTTTCCTGCTTTGTCAAAGATTATTTGACCAAAGACTTGCAGGTCCATGTCTGGACTCTCTACTCTGTTCCACTTGTTTGTCTGGTTTTGTACCAGTACCTTACTGTCTTGGTTATCACAGTTTTGTAGTAAAGCTTGAAATCAGCCAATGTGATGGCCCCAGTTTTGTTTTTCTTTTTCCAACATTTCCTTAACAATTCAGAGACTTTTCTGGTTCCATACAAATTCTAGGATTGTTTGTTCCAGCATTTTGAAAAATGCCGGTGAAATTTTGTTCGGGATGGCATTAAGAGTATAGATTGCTCTGGGCAGTATAGACATTTTAACAAGGTTTATTCTTCTGATCCATGAGCATGGAATGTTTTTCCATCTTTTTGTGTTTTCTTCAGTTTCTTTCATGAGTGTTCTGTGGTTCCTTGAGTACAGATCCTTTACCTCTTTGGTTAGGTTTATTCCTAGGTATCTTATGGTTCTTGGTGCCTATAGTAACTGATATTCCTTTCTGTATTTTCATTGTTAGTGAATAAGAAAGCAACTGATTCCTGTGCATTGATTTTGTATCCTGCCATATTATTGAATTGCTGTATGAGTTCTAGTAGTTTAGGGGTGGAGTCTTTTGGGTTTTCCATATAAAATATCATGTCATCTGCAAAGACAGTTTGACTTCTTCTTTGCCAATTTGAATACCTTTTATTTCTTTTTGTTATCTGATCATTGTTGCTAGGACTTCTAGTACTATGTTGAACAAGAGTGGCGAGAGTGGGCATCCTTGTCGTGTTCCTGATCTCAAAGGGAAGGCTGTCAGCTTTTCCCCATTGAGAATGATATTCGCTGTGGGTTTTTTATGGATAGATTTTATAAAGTTGAGGAATGTTCCCTCTACCCCTATACTTTGAAGAGTTTAAATCAGAAATGGATGCTAGATTTTGTCAAATGCTTCTTCTGCCTCAATTGAGAGGACCATGTGTTTCTTCTCTCTTTTCTTATTAATTTGTTCTATCACACTGATTGATTTGTGAATCTTGAACCACCCTTGCATCCCAGGGATAAATCCCACCTGGTCATGGTTGATAATCTTTTTAATGTACTGTTCTGTTCTATTAGCTAGGATCTTGTTGAGAATATTGGCATCCATATTCATCAGGGTTATTGGTCTGAAATTCTCCTTTTTGATGGGGTCTTTGCCTGGTTTGGGGATCAGGGTAATGCTGGCTTCATAGAAAGAATCTGGAAGTTTTCCCTCTGTTTCTATTTTCTGAAACAGCTTCAAAAGAATAGGTATTATTTCTTCTTTGAATGTTTGGTAGAATTCCCCAGGGAATCTGTCAGGTCCTGGGCTCTTGTTTTTTGGGAGGTTTTGATCACTGCTTCAATCTTTAGTAGATATTGGTCTATTCAGTTGTCAATTTCTTCCGTTTCAGTCTTGGTAGTTTATAGGTTTCCAGAAATGTATCCATTTTTTCCTTGGTTGCTTAACTAATTGGCATATCAATGTTGATAATAATTTCTGATGATTGTTTCTATTTTTTTGGTGTTAGTCACAATCTCTCCCCTTTCATTCATAATTTTATTAATTTTGGTCCTCTACTTTTAGATTAGTTTGGCTAGTGGCTTATCGATCTTATTAATTCTTTCAAAGAAGCAGCTTCTAGTTTTATTGATGTGTTCTACCATATCTCTAGTTTCTAACTCATTGGTGTCTGTTCTAATCTTGATTATTTCCCTTCTTGAGTGTGGGGTTGGCTTAATTTGTTGTTGATTTTCCAGTTCCTTAAGGTGTAAAGAGAGCTGGTGTATTCGGGATTTTTCAATTTTTTTGAGGGAGGCTTGGATGTATGTCTATGTATTTCCCCCTTAGGACTGCCTTTGCTGTATCCCACAGGTTTAGGACCGATGTGTGTTCATTCTCATTGGTTTCCATGAATTGTTTAAGCTCTTCTTTGATTTCCTGTTGATCCAAACATTCTTGAGCAGGATGGTCTTTAGCTATCAAGTGTTTGAATTCCTTCCAAACTTTTTCTTGTGGTTGAGTTGCAGTTTCAAAGCACTGTAGTCTGAGTATGCAGGGAATGATCTTAGTCTTTTGGTATCAGTTGAGCCCTGATTTGTGAACCAGTATGTGGTCTGTTCTGGAGAAAGTTCCATGTGCACTCGGAAGAATGAGTATTCTGTTGTTTTAGGGTGGAATATTCTGTATATATCTATGAAGTCTATCTGGTCCAATGTGTCATTCAAAGCTCTTGTTTCTTTATTGATTTTCTGCTTAGATGATCTATTACTGAGAGTAGCATGTTAAGATCCCCTACAATTTATGTATGCATATCAACGTGAATCTTTATTTTGATTAACAGTTGTCTTATGTAGTTGGCTTCTGCCATATTGGGGGCCTAAATATTTACAATTGTTAAATCTTCATGGTGGATAGACCCTTTAAGAATGATGTAGTGTCCTTCTGTATCTCTGACTACATACAGTCTTTAGCTTAAAATGTAATTTATCTGATATGAGAATCGCTACCCCAAGCTTTCTTTTGAGGCCCGTTGGCATGAAAGATGGTTCTCCATCCCTTCATTTTCAGTCTGGTTGTACCTCTAGGTTCCAAATGTGTCTCTTGTAGACAGCATATGGACGGGTCCTGTTGCTTTATCCAGTCTGCAACCCTGTGCCAATTTATGGGAGCATTTAGGCCATTCACGTTGAGCGTGATTATTGAAAGGTTAGTTTTTATTGACGTAGTGTTGCCTATGAAGTCCTTGTTTTTATAGATTGTCTCTGT